CCCCAGCCAGTATGGCTGGCTAGGGAATTCTGGGAGTTGAAGTCCATACGTCTTAAAGTCGCGAAGGTTGAGAAACACTGGTCTGGACTCTTAGTAACTGTAACTGGATTCACACAACACGTTAAGATGGAGAAGGGCAAATCTAGTTATTTATTTAGTAAATTTATATGGCCGCCCATCTTAATCAAATAACTCTGGGCAGCTAACAACCCTAAAAACAAAAGCATACATACTAAAAACAATCAGAAAAAAATAATTATGAAAGACTCAGCCAAGACCAAAACCCAAAGCAGGCTCCCTGAACATCCCGGCTCTAAACCTTAAAGTGAGGGCCAGATTTGCTGTAGGAAAAAAGTTGAGGTTCAGAGAGTTGTGGGAATTCAGTCCTTAACATGTTAAATAGGGCAAAAGATGATCCAGCAGCTGGAACACCTTCCCTGTGAGGAAAGATTGCAACATTTGGGCTTTGTAGTCTAGAAACTGGGGGAAAGAGAGGGGACATGATGGAGGTGTATGGAATTATGCATGGTGTGGATAAAGTGGACGAGGAGAAGGCCTTTCCCCCTTCCCAACATACTAGAACCAGAGGTCACCCAATGAAATGGACTGTTGGAAGAAGCAGGACAAAAGGAAAGGGTTTTTTACACAATGAGTAATTCTACTTTGGAATTCACCACCACGAGATGGGGGGCTGGCTACCTGCTTGGCTGGCTTCAAAGAAAGGGTTGGACCAGTTCATGGAAGTCCTGGAGATCCATGGCTCTTAGCCTGGATGGCAGTGGGGCTGCCTCTGAAGGTCATCTGCTGGGTGATGGGTGGGCTTCCTTGGGCAGTTGGTGGCCCACTGTGATGGAATGGACTTATGAAGGCCAGGCTCAGGGAGCTAAGCGTGTCCTTAGCCCCCAACAGGAGCGTGGGAAGTTCAAGATGAGGCGGGCACCTCCCTAAGGAATTCACGGTGTGGCTGGCCGGCGTGGGGAATAAGGGTCCGTCTGGGGGGAA